GGTCTGCAAATGGAAATAGCCACCTGTGCAAAAATGCTGCGAAGGCTGGCTGGCGCAGACGGTGTTTGCTTGCGCCGCTCTTGCTATGACTTGGCGCCTCCTGTGTCAACATTCATTGGGAAGGTTTTCGACTCTGTGGACCTGATCATCACGCCCGTCCGCATAAGACTGAACCCGACCTCAGACAGAGCTTATCGTGAACACGACTGAGCCAATCACATCAATCTTGGCACAAGTGATGCAGCAGGCAGCCATACCGCTGAGAAACTGACGACATTGTGCGTAAATAGATCCATATTGCCGTTGTAACTGATCCTGCGCAAGACAGTCAAATCTGTGTAGAACTGCTGTGAATCTGGAACAAGTCCACAGATCCGACTTGAAGCAACCAGTCCAGTCAAAGACCATAGAGGCAGAGTTTTCACTGAACCATCTGTCTGCATCAAGTAGAGAAAGCATCTCCTGGCACCTGTCAACCGATGTTTGCGAGGTGCTTGTACTTTCGCAGTGACATGCTGATAAGTAAGCGTTATGGGCGCGGCTGGGCTGCAGTGACACCCAAGGAAAATGCCTGTTGCGACGAATCTCGGTGGGATGGTTGCACATGGGCACGGCATCATGTAAAGCTGGGAGGAGGGCCAGGCCACCCAGCATTCGAAAAGGCCTTCAGACGTGCTTTCACTGAGAAACTTCGCCATGTGTTGAAGGTGCAACCGGAGCACCCCAGGTCTTTGGAGGGCACATCGTACTGAAACTTGAAGGTTTCCCTGAGTTTGCCATATGCGCACCGCTCAATTTCAAGAGGATTCTCTGGCCAACGATTCTTGGGGCATCTGCGGAAGCTGGGAGGTGAGGTTCACGGCCATGGACAAGCTCGCAGTGTCCAGAATCTGCCCATCGGCAGTTCTGCACCTGGACAAACCATTTATAATCTCGCAAGAGCCTTCTCTCCGGGAGAAATCCTGCCGGCAAGGGGCAGCTCGTGTGAAAACACGTCAGTGCACACCTTCGGAAAGGTACTCACTCAAAACCCATGCGTCTGCGCAAAGACCTTCCAGTTGTTCTCAGCACGTTGCCGAGTTCCAGCATTCGACATTTGGTGTTCTCCGCAAAGTGGGTGACCTGCAAAGAGAGCGATTCTGCCACGACGACAAGCAGCCGACAAGCAACTCTTGAGACCTAAAAGGTCCATTACTTGGGAGTGCTGCTGCAGTTTGCCGCTTCAAGCCATGTCGGTCATGATGCTACCAGTCACCCCCAGGTGATGATGCTGGACCACAATTTTGTCGTCTTTTCAGCGGGCACGGCGTTGCCGGTTAAACCTCAACAGTGTTGAGCAACAAGCACAAACCAGGACCATGTATCAAGGGCGTTCGGTAGACTGGGTGCTACCACTATCGCTTCGCAGCGACTTCACAACAGCGACGGCATTGCTTGAGAAAGCATTGGAATAACACCGCCAGGGCTAGAAACTTTGGGCTATGTTACCGGCTTATTATGGGCAAGCAGTGCAATAGGACCCAACAGAAAACAAGGAAGCCGGGAGACCAGAATCAGAAACCAATTTCGGCATACCTCAAGCCTCAGCCTCACAGGGCCTCACGAATTTCTCATTCTCATCTACGACTGGGCCTTGCATCTTGAGCCCATGGGTTCCAAATGACAAAGCCTGCCTACTGTCAACGACTGACATAACGATTATAGTCGGTGACAGTGCCAATCCAAAATACAAAGCGAGGGTACGTCACGATCAGCGCATAAAACAAACATAGTCGGGCGCAGACCCAATGGAGAACAAGAAAGCCAGGGATCCCTAACACCATCACAACCGTTTCTTATCCAGACATCTCTCGCTGTTGTCTACGAAAGCAGAACCTCCTCGTTAACAGAACTACCACACATAGCAATGCACACACAGGGCAGTCAGAAAAGACAGTAAGTGCCACCAAGATCTGCTGTGAGACTGCCCTGCCGTGAGCATGTTATATTAAGCTGTGCCCACAAGGAACGTGAGATCCAAACCAAACAGCGAGGAATGCTACTAACTATGTTCTACTAACTACTATATATATTGTGTGAAGTTATGCTCCGTTTCGTTGTAGTATGTTCTGTATTATAGCAGGTTCTACTTAATCAGCCATATCCCTCAGATGCAAAGGCAGGGCGCACCCGGCAGCCCATCGAGATGAAGTCGCCACGAAGCAAGCTGGCTGAACTGTCAGCCGCACGAAGGTTGTGTTCCTGCACTGGCACTGCCAGTAATTACAGCTTCTCCACCTCACGTACCTGGCCATCTGAGAGCTGCGCAGAAAGCCGATGTTCCAGTTCGCGATGCGATTGATGAGCTGTTGCCTCAGACCAAAGCTTTCGCAAAGAAGTGTCGAAGGCAGAGCGCTTGCACCACCTGGGAAGAGAAAGCCACAAGCACAGCTTTCCTGCTCTGACCCTCCTTCTCTCAGGCCACGCGTTTGTGTTCTACCGACTCAGCAGTGTTCAGCAGTTGTGGTGCAATCTGTGGCAAGGTGCTGTTCTCGCAAAGGTCTCTATGGGAGAGAGTGGAGGGACCCAGCCTTTTTGGGCCCTCGAAGGCCAGCTTCAAGTGCTGCTGACTGTTGCTGAGGTAAGGCTCACTTGTACCTCCTTCTCTCTGGCGTTGGATCGTCGTCAAGAGGTCTTGCATCTTTTTTTATTCTGTTCTCCTGAAAGAAAACCCGTGGCAGCCTGCTCGCTGCAAGCGTGATTCACAGTCTCCGAATGTCTCCGAGATCCCGGCGAGTTGTTTGCACTGTTGCAGTCGGCATCGCTTTGCCAACTGCCTCCAGAGGCCGTCTGCTCCGCACACGTAGGGTTGTTGTAGAGCCTCATGGAAAGCACAGTCACTGCTTGTGCCAGAAGCATTTGCCCAAGTTCTCGACCCGACAATCGCTGCTTCCTTAGATGAATGCAACCTAATTCAAGGGCCCTTGTCAACTTCAACACCTATGCTGGATCGAAGACCTTGACGGTGCAGCAGGGTGCACAGCTGGGCCAACCTGCATCCATGCTGTTGGCATGGCCGACCCAGAACTACACCTATGCCGGAACACAACGTGTTTGTAGCCACGAAAAACTCAGAAGGGACGTTTCGCTGAACACCAAATCCAATAGTACAGGTTGGAAGGGTACCTTGTTAAGGATGGCTGCATCCATCAGTTGCATCGTTTGGTAATATCATCTACGATTTCAACTCGAGACGAGGAAAGGAGGCAGCCCTTACTTGGAAGCCTTACTTGGAGCTGCCAAGTTTCGGCCCATGGCTTGACGTCAGCGAAAGTGTGGATGCTGTCGAAGTTCTGCAAGGCCACGAAGCGAGAACGTCCACGGAAGAGGTTGCCGCGCTCGCGTGTGCGCGGTGCGATCAAAATCTTCAAAAAAAATCCGCAATCCTTGAGGTTGTCATCCCTGGAGAACATGACGTCCAAAGCACTTTCTTGCAGCGTGGCCTCCAACAAACAACTGCTGTTCTTCGACTAGATAACATGGTGAAGATGCCACGCCTTGGATGCAAGAAAGCTGTCAACACCTCGACCCTGCAATGTCATTAAGGTGATCCACACCTGAGTGAGGACATTGGCACAGACCCAGGCCCCAAGCCACCGGGAGGCACTGAGACCATGACGGCCATGAAAACCTCATCACTTTTGCAGGAAGAATGAAGCCCACAGTTTCGGGAGCTCTCCAAAGATCTGAAGGGTCTGCACCACGTGCACTGTTAAACTGATATGTTCAAAGAGACTGAACTGAGACATTGGCGATCATGCTTGTGAAGCCCACGAGATTCCTTCGAAGCTGCTGCTCTGGATCATGTTGAACCTGGCATGTAACTGAGTTTGCAATCTTTTCTTCGCAACGAACATCGCCGTTGTCAGTGTTTGTCAGTGTTCGATGTACTGTCCTGTAGCTGCGCCGAACCAAACATCTCAACGCGAGCTGGATGAGATCACCCCGGCTGACTGCTTCACTCAAGTGTTGGAACCCCTTCCGAAGTGTTTGACATTGGCAGAACGTGGGCTAGCCATGGCCCACTTTTCGAACAAGGCTTAGTTTGCAGACCTTGTGAAAAAAACGCTGAAAAAGGGCCACTTGATTCCGATCGGTCTCCAAGCACAACGGCATGAGGAACCTCTGAATTCTGTGCTTGCGCATCATGAACATCTGCCGCGCCAGCCGTGCGTCTGGGAAGCAGCGAACATGCATGAATCTTGAGCTTTGCGTCTCGCATGAGACATCTAGGAATCTAGGAGGCTGAGCTCCACGCTGCTTCGTCCTGCAATTGCACCGATGTCTATAAGTAGGCCATGCAAATCTACTGTGACCGTTGCGACTTCGACAGCAGGCAAGTACTGTCGGCCTGACTCCCGAGGTCAGAAAGCTCGGCGTTGAACAAAAGAAGCATGCCTGGCCAGAAGGAGCGATCGAGCGCTGACGAGACTCCGCTCTTCGCCAGAGACGCGAGCCTTGATGGATACCACAATAGGGTCCAGGCAAATCGTTGCATACCTGTCAACTTCGCGGTCCCCCCACTGCTACCACTGGAGGTGCTTATGTACTGCCAAGAAACTTGATGACCGTGGCACCGTACTTCAAGATGTTTCCGACCTTGCTCCGGCAAACTCTACTTTGCACGCAAACTCCTGCATCAAGAGTATCAACAGAGAGGGAGGAGACAGGGCACGGAATCCAAAAAGGCATCTTTCACGTCATGTCGCAGCCTTAGCACCAGACGACGTCTGCTTTGAGCTCTTCGAAGATGAGAGTGATCGGGTTTTGCTCCTCGAACAGGGCAAACAAAGAGCCGCAGCATTACCGTGCCTCACAACAGCATGATGTGACACCTTTTCATTCAGGCCCCTCTTCTGCAGCTCATAATCAACGACATCATAACCTGCCACTGACGGACACTGTGGCTCGCAAGCTTGTGCTTGCTGCAAAGTTCGAAGAACTGCAAGGCTGGCCGCTCATCAGAAGGGTCACGAAAATGTTTATGAGCACCAAGTAGAACAGGATGTAGAAGAACTCGGTCATGTGTCAATAAGCAGTCTTGTCCCGTTCTTGACTGCGCAATGCGCAGCATTCTGCGATTTGGGCATTGGCCGAGTCTGCATGCACATCATGCACCCGCGCAGAGAAGGAAAGAGGGACAGGGGAGTGCGCGGGGGAGAGAGAGAGAGAGAGAGAGAGAGGCTGAAGGATACAGAAACAGAGAGACTTTCGAGAACAGGGGAGCAAGCGGGACCGATCAGGAAGACAGAGAGACCGAGATAGGTGGAAGAATGGGAGAGCGACTGGGAAGACTCAACATGAAGCAACAGAAAAGGCTTCTGAGAGCTCGACAAAGAAGTAAATGGTGCCCAAGATCTCATCCACCCGGTAGATGTCATCGAAAACCTGTGTTCACCAGCATCGAAACGGCTACAGCTGCAGCGCGAAGCACGACAGCTTGTGAGGGCAACACCATGTCACCGGTCAGCATCGCAAAGCTTTTGTAGATGCAGAGGCCGATATCACTCATCCCCAAATACCTGGAGGGAGGACCAACGAATCGGGCAACATATCGGAGCGCAATGCAGGCCCACGTACGTAGACCGGCGCAGATGTGATCGAGCCCTTTCCTTGGAACCTATCGAACGACGACGGTGAACACGAATCGAGTTCGAGAATGTTCGAGAACTTGGAGCGGCATAGGGTGCCCACTAATCTTCCTTCGCTCAAGCTTGGTTTTGCTGTTCTTCGCCAATGAAGTACTTCTGAAGTAGATTGTTTGCTCGTCAACTGCACAGTCAGAATAGACGTGCTAAGTTTGAGCAACTGATTGCCCACAGCAACAACAACAACAACAACAACAGCAATCAGCAATGCATCGCGTGATAGTCCAAGGTTGCGTGCACTTGAATGATAAGTTCTAGGGGCCAATGCCAAGAGTTTCCAAATGTTGGGCTCCCCAGTGGCCCCGTTTCATGGACTATGTCATTACCTGTTTCGAAGGTTTCGGATCTCACGGTTTGAGCCTGTGCAAGTTTCGTCCCAACTCCTTTTGCCGAAGCCACCTAAGCCGCACCTGGCCGGTGACGAGCACACAAGCACAATGCCCAGTCAACATCAGAGAAAACTGGCGGAGCTCGGTGGAAGCGCACCCGGATCCGAATGCGAAGAAGCTCATGAGCACAAAGCCGGCCTGAAATGTCAGATTGTCTGCCTGCTTGGTGAGGACACTGTAATCTGGCCTGTAGCATCATGAACATGCCAAAGAAGGCAACAAAATTCGGCAAGGAGACATGAAGAACCTGTTCGATGTCGGCTGCACACTTGGGATCGTTGTGTTAGTATGAGAGAACCAGACGACAATCCGTGCTGGACGGGACCTGCTGTATGAGGCCGAGGTTGCTGTGCAAGCCGGACACGAGGCTCACGGTTCTCAACTTGGTACAAATTTAAATCCATGATCACTCCGCTCGCACTTAGCAAGCCTGGGGAACCTGCACTCACCACAAGCAGGTTAAGAGCCTGAGCACGGCTGTCGAAAAGTGCCGCTGATTTGCAAATTCAAATTCGACAGCCAGCACACGAGCGTCGGCATGTGCAACCAAGAATCAATGAGAAGACCTTGATCCTGAAACAGCTACGGCTATGGCGGTCGAAGCTTTAGTAATCCCAGCCACGACGGCACCTTATCCCCTGGATCGTTTCGTGCGAGCGATTCAGGCTCTCGGGCAAGCAGCCCGTCCCGAAGGTGCTAGATCTCCTCTCCATGGTTCTCCGGGCTCCGGCCTTCCCCTCCACTTCGCTCCCGCTGAAATCCCTCCGCTTGATTCTCCATGCACCGTGCTGCGGACACACAGCACCGCGTCACCCAAACCCACGATCTGCGCACAAGTTGAGGGTTCAGGGCATCCATGTCACCGCTACCGGCTTCATGCACTATTTTTCCTCCACACTTCAGCCACCCGCGTGAACAGTGCCCAGAACTGTCTGTATCCTCAACATGTTCGGTGCGCACCAAGGTGACCTTCCAGAACCCTTACCGGTCCAACGGGTACCGCCAAACGAGACACACAGAGCAAGAACCAACCTCGACAGAAGCACGAAACTCATACCACGAAGCACAACCATCACACATGCTTTCCAAGAGACCGTCGGTAAGCACTACTTCCAACATACCCTCCCTAGAAAAGTGCGATTGGCAGGATACTCTCCTGGCTGTGGGATAAACTGCATGCTGCTTGGGCGGAGCATGCAGCAATTAGCACAGGAGAGGAGAATGGCCTGCGGCCTTTTAATCCATTGTGATGAAACTCTTGGGGAAGCACTTCGGATATGCTGAGCGGGACACTCTGGCAGCATTCCGGATGCTCTGCGGCAGGGTGCTGTGAGTTAAGGCACTCCAGCATAACTGTGCAGGACACTTGGGATGCACACTCTCCACTCTATGCGATACTCTCTGGATCTCTGGGGGGTGTAGGCGTACTCTTGGGGACGGGATCGAGGATGATCCGGATGCTAGTTTGCAAGATGCACTAGGTGGGCGATTCTCTGCGGCATAAATTCGGGGCGGGCAGGCTGCAGGGGAATCCAACCCGGATACCTGCAGGTGGGCATCCAGGACCACTTTGACCTTGCGGTATGAAGTACAACATTGTCATGGACTCTGGGGCTGGGCCAGGGATACTCTGCAGAGCGGGCTAGGAGAGGGCGAGGTTAAAATTCACCTCGGCGGAATCCAAGCCCCCACGACCAAAACTTCTGACCGCGCAAAGTGGCCGTAGGCCCCCCAATTTGCGCAAAAAGATTTGACACAACGCATGCCTCTCCTTGGCCCCCCCACCCAGGCTAACAAACCCAAGCGGAGCCTTCAAACACAGAAATGCGCGGCACCGACCTCACTCACTGGACCGACCGGTTAAACACAGTTTTTGGTACCCTGACCCAACCCTGCTGATCATGGTTTTTGTGATTCGAACCCTCCCCTTTCTACCATCCATCATATTCCATCATCCCATGCCCTTTCTTTGGCCCTCCCCTCAAACCCTACCCTACCCACTAAATACCCAGCAGGGTAGGATAAGTAGGCTGGGACGGGCCGAGAAAAACCGGCGCAGGCAGGGCGCAGGGCCTGGTGCTGCTGTTTGATTGCGTTCAAGGTATTTGCGTGGTGTGTCAAGAACGGTGCATTCAGTCCGGTTGCTTAGAGCCTGGTTGCTTGAAGCTTGCGCAATAGTGCTTCTGGCTGCATATGTCTGCCAATTGCATTGTCTGGTGCAGCGCGCTGTCCTGCAGGCTTGAGGCAACCTCGCAGAGAGAAACGTAGGTGGCTGCCTGGGATGGGCAGACGGAAGGTGAAGGTCGGCAGCCGTGTCGGGACTCGGGATGACTCGGGACCGATCCGTTTTGAACCAAGCATAACCAAGGCACTCGTGTGTCCGGATGTTGCAGGTCCTGGGCGCTTAGGGCTTCGTCTCGACATCAGGGCACTTTCAGCCATGTACAGAGATGAGCGGTTATCAGCTGAAGCGCGCCTCGAATTGGAACTGAGAAAATGATGGCATCTGCTCGATCACCCAGTAGGACAGGAAAACGCCAAGCGATACGGTGATGGAAACCAGGTCCGTTGCTGCCCCTTGCCTCCTGCCACGGCGGAAGAGCGGGTGAAAGCAACTTCAATTCGATCTTCCAGAAGCAACGAACCCGAAGCAGCTAGCTCGTCTTCTAATTTGTTCTTCATGGCTGGAAGCAGGAAGTAAACAACAGGGCCCGCGGCGCGGTGCCTGTTTGAAGCACCATCAAATTCACGCAAGGCTTGTTGACATGAGAGACATCAGACATCACTACAAAACTAATCTTTCATTAGAGTCTTACAGCACTGCTGCTACTGGCCTGAAACACTGCAGATGCAAAAACAGGGCCTTGCAGAGCGCATCCAATGACGGCCAAATATCGGTTTGTAGTTGTTTTTAAAGGCCACCCCTTGCAGATGCACTACTCGAGCCTGAAGAAGGCATCTGCAACGTTTCTGGCTCTGAGAAACAGCATTTTAGAGTTATGCTTTCATGCGCCTTTGCAGACCCTATCAAATAACACCTCACGGTAAAACAAAGGTTTCTGTGTTGGCCACAAGCCTTGCGGATGCGCTTCTTTCGGGCCTCGAAAAACGCATCCAACGTTTCGGGCTCTAAAAATCAGTTTAGGCACTCCTTTCACAAGAGGAGCAAGCAGTAGTAGCAGTAGCAGTAGCAGTAGCAATAGCAATGGCAGAAAAAGGAGCAGCAGTTGTCGTAGCAGTAGTAGTAGTAGTAGTAGTAGTAGTAGCAGCAGCAGTAGTAGTAGTAGTAGTAGTAGAAGTAGTGGTGGTGGTAGTAGTGGTAGTAGTAGTAGTAGTAGTAGTAGTAGTAGTAGTAGTAGTAGGCTACAGCAGTAGTCGTCGTGGTCGTCGTCGTCGTAGTCGTGGTGGGGGTAGTAGTAGTTGCTGCTGGTGCAACAGCAGCAGTAACAGCAGTAGGTGCCGTTCTTGCAGCAGGTAGGAGTAGTAGCAGCAATGGTAGAAGCAGTAGCAGCAGCATCAGTGGTGGCAGTAGCCGCCAATTGGACGAAGCCATGCATTCGAAGATAACAACACCACGTGCACCGGAACGTAATTGCCATGTCACGAACCCTTCCCGAAAATAGTATCAAAAATCGAACTCCATGGCGTTGTCCCACAGGGCATCCATGCTAGGAATTCATGCCAATTTCTGTTTATTACCTATTACGTAGTCACACGATATGTGGCGAACACGCCGTAGCTGCCCTGCCCGACGTCGGACAACACCTCTTGGTTTTCCGAGCACCAACCGGTTCAGCCTCACAGCTGATGCTATCTCTCGAACAGAAGCCAGGAAGCTATGATTCGTAAGCATTCAGAGTCTCTCAAAAGAAGGTGGGTGCCAGTAAGATGATCAACGAGCATCAGAAGCCAACCAACTAGGCTTTGGAATCGAAAACCTTGATACATGATCCCCAGCATCAGAACGCCTCCGCACCCGAGCATGGGCAACAGTCCAGGCATGCTGCCCTCGAGGATTATGCTATACAACAGCGACGTGTTTTGGTACATCATGCTTAAGAGGGATTGGCACGCCTAGTGCGGGCCCTCGCCCCTATTGAATGTTCTTGCGCACCAGGGTTTTAGCTACATGACAGCAGGTAGATGTCTGGAGCGGATGGGTTAGAAAGGAGGCTGGTTCACCCTGCAACCAGCTATTGACTTGAACGTGACATGCTTGCAGTGGTGGAGAATGCCTGAAGTGCTGGAAGAACCCAAGGTCCCACATCCGTCGAAACCTGGGCTGCATTAGCAACTGACAGACCCTCCTGTTTTGCCGGCAGACGGCATGGACAGGAGACATCATGCGACAGCAGCGACACAACAGGGGACCGAACTCGATGAGAAGGAAGATGACCAGCATAACGACACCTTGGTTCAGGAGGCTCAATGTGGCACCACAGAAACATGTGAGGGTGACAATGATTAATTGGTGCCCTAAGCAAGGATGCTTAGGGACACGGTAAACTGGACGAGAGACAGGCGATGCGAATGATGTAAAAGACCAGATAGAGCAAGACATCCCTCGGCGGCCGTGCCGTGCAAGGCATGCAGTAGGATACGCTTGGCATGCTGTCGTCTAAGCTTCCAACGTGTTGAATACATTCAGGTTGAAGCTTCGCGCTATCTGTCACGGCTGCTCAGAGCTCGAAGATCAGGTTTAGTGAAGGGCCTACAGTATGCCATGATATTTTGCTGCTTCTGCCTTGCATTTGAGGCAAGGTACTGTATGGCATGGTCATAGTCTTCGATTGACAACTTCGGAACATGAACAAGAACGAAAAACTACAGCTAGGCTTCCGCAAGACCTGCGTCATTTCGATGTTGCCGGCGAAATCGAAGGTGAAGTGGAGGACAAACTGGACAAACATGTCCTCAAATCAAGCTCAGTCGATGCGCGGCACCCTTGCAGCGAACTTACCTCAGAAAACAAGCGCACAGGCACGGGGAGGCTTCTGACTGCCGAAGGGATGCGACGTTGGCATTGTAGACGATGAAGTCTACCTGTTTGTGCCGTGCATAAACTGCGAAGCCTAGGAACTTTGGATGCAGCGGACAGCCCACCGTAAAGGAGCCCAATCTTAGATCGAACGCGTTGGCTTCGTACATGCTGTCCAACAATGCCTCGGCACATCGGCCATGGTTCGCTTGCGAATCCGCAACCCATGTCTGGAAAACCCGGTTTGGTTGGCTTCGCATATCCAAGCTTACTTTGCCACTTGGGACCTGTCAAGAATTCCAAACCTGCGCCGACGCTGGAGAGAGCTGGGACGGAAGCTTAACATGACCGAAAGGGGCACAGAAGTGTGGGCTTTTCCTGCACAGGGCTGCGTCGTGAGTGCTGAAGTGATAACCCTAGCGGGGTCCCGTAGCGACCCGTTTTCCACCGTAAGGTGGCGTTTCGTGTCAGAAATGCCGGAACAGTCATGATTAGACCCCTTCTTCAGATAAGCCCAGTTTGCGGCAGGAGCTTTCGTAGCTGTGACCGATTTGCTGGAGGCTTTTTGCGCTGTGACTCAAGCTGAGAGTCATGCGTCGTAGGCTTGCTCACCCTCCATCGGGTCAAGGAATGAAACGTATCCCCCTGCATGATCCTGCCAAGGCTCTATGCAGCACATACTTGGCCCTCCACTCTGCAAGACAACGCGAGACACAGTTGGCGCACGAAAGCATGCTCTGTCTGCCAGGTGTAGCAACTATCCGACCTCAGACGGCAGTAAAGAGGCAGACCGTCTAATTACACAGTTGAATGTCACAACGCAGCTAGTCAGCTAGTCCTCGACTCCACGGTAAGCCGCGCACGAAACGTTCTGTCCGGGTCTGCACAGATCCGTCGTCTCCTTGCACAAAGCTCCGGCACGCAACAAGCGCAAAACGCCAACTGCGGCACTCTCCTCATCAGCACTTCTTGCAAAAGGGCTCATAGCTCGTGTAAAGCCTTCCAAGTGGCGTGGGAAGTCCAAAAGACCATGAGAGTCCCAAGCCTGCGAGTCGATTGGGAGTTGACGAACTGAACCTTATAACAGGAGAGCCCAACATTCTGACGAAACCAACACACCGGGGCACCGGCTGGCCCACGGTCGGCACCACAGCCCAGCGCTTGAACGTGAAACGCGCCTGGAAAGATCCACTTTGGTCACATTCTAACTTTTTGTACTATGCAGCCATCAAGGTGCCGGGCTAAAACAATGCGATTGAAGCTGCCGACGGTTGCTGGGGTGACACTGTGGTTCCTGCGTGCGCGTGTGTCAGGCACACATGTCAACCCTGCAGTGCCATGCAGCCGACCAGGACGACCAATTACCCCAGCTGCTTCGGCTCCTGGGACACAGAAACTTTTCATGGACGAGCCAGTTGTCTCGCGAAAGTAAGGATGAGACGACATGGGCTCTTGTTCGCCGAAGATCACGGGCTTCAGCGACGTCTGCGAGTACAGAACCACTGTGCTATGACGGATTACACTCTGCAGTCTGTGCCCATCCAAACGCGAAACACTGAAGCTGTTGATTTCACATTGTGTGGACTATGCTGCCTCACTGAAAGTGATTATGAGTCGTCCACATCTCACCTGGCAATGGATGATTTGACCTCATTGTGCATGCAGTTTCGTTGGGCACACTGAGTTTCGTCCTACTCATAGAATTCTGGAATTACAAAGACATCATCTGAATGAAAGCCTGAATAAATCCTGGCACACCATGCTACGCGATGCTACGCCTGTTATCCAAGGTAAGAAGACTTTGCAGCACCACAGTTGTGGAACGGACTCTTGCCTGATGCAGCAGGAAGACAACAAGCAACAATATCTCAACGATATGTATACGAGCATAGGCATGCACGTACTACAAAGCCGTCCACGTGTTCTGGCTAAGTGAACCGGCCCATTAGTTAGATTCTACTAGTTAGATGTCAATGAAGGTAACGACACTCTCCACGTGAGCCCTTGAAGTAAAGCATTTTGACTATGGCTGCTATAGTGTGATCTTGCAAACATTACTGAGTACTGCTAGCATGGTCTACCAGCATATCGTTCGTCGTAATTCTAACGTTGCCTATCTTTCCTATGCTCAATGCTCCCAAGTTGGGGAGATACACGACCTGACCTGCCAATCATGTCCAAATTGTCGGTTCCTATGCCAAACTGCGATGCAAGTAACCGTTACCTTGGTCATGCGCATGCAAGCAATGACCAATTCGAAATTTCACCGTCAGTGATAAGAGTCTTAACGTGATTGAAACCGAATGATGTTGTAACTTTCCAATCCGGGCAGCTTCCAATGTTCCGACATGACGCAAGTTTCAAGCGACCCTGGAAGGGGGCACGATGCTACAAAGTGTAACGACGGAGAAATATCTGCTGCAGAATGCTGCAGATTCTGGGTCAGACAGTTGTCACAAAACAGGGACTCACAAGACAGCAACCAACCAGACAGTCTGGTTCGTCCAGTGCTGAGCATGCCACACATGCTTCCGGGATCAATGAACAGACTCGCCAAGATCAGTGTGAGTACTGCTGCACAGCAACAGCAGTACTGTATATTGTATATTTAACAGTTCCTCGAAAGAAAGTTTTTCGATTTCGGGGCGCATCACGTTTCCACTGTTTTAAGCGCTCTTCGACTTCGCATTCTTCAGGAGTAAAGTGCCTGAAGCGGAACTGTCTGGTTGCTGTTTTCGTCTACTCTGAATTACTCTGACTCGCTCCCTGCTCGACATGCAGCCCGCAGTCACCGGCACTTCTGGAAAGCAATGACACAAGGAAAACTTTCGATGCTGCACCAGATAGCACCAGCACTCTTGAATATGTTTAACATGTACCTCAAAAGCTGGTTGCTTCGCAATGCCTGTCTCAACACCTCCCTCTCAATCTGCGTGTCCTTGTGATTTGCCCTGCCTTGAGCCAGTGGTAGACCTGTTCGGGATCCTGTCCACATGTTTGGCACAGAGCTATGTCCAGATGTGACATAACGCGACCCAGCAAACAGCAAGCATGCTGCAAATTTGGGCTGGCCTGAACGTGGTCGATGTGCCTGGCAGGGGGCGCAAATAGAAGAGGCAGAGTCCAAAAACAGCACTGCGTCGATCAGGAGCTCATAATTAGGATAGCTACAGCATCCTTCAAAGTTCATAAAGGGCCAAACATCTCTGCCTGAGCCTCACAACGATTGAGTGACACCGACTAAACTTCGTGAACGCATCCTGCCAGCGGTCCCGCTCGAACTTGACCGTAGAAACCAAAAAGTTGCGCAAGTCACTTGTGAAACCGTTCTGGGTTGCAGACCTGCGTCTTACCCCCGGTATCTACGAGCCTGGCTGACAGGATTCGCGCCTTGTCGATGTGTCATTGCCCCCATGTGCTGGATTGTGGAAGGGATACGCGCTGAGTGCCTCAGCTCAGCAGCTTTTCTGTTCACGTTGCTGAACAACACAATATCTGCAGACCCTCAGCCGCAATCAACATCATAATTCATAATGTTTTAAGAATATGCCCTGAGTAAGATTAATCGAACGTTGTTTTCAGTCATGCGCAGTCTGCATTGCAAAGCTCTTACCGGTTGAAAATGGATTTTTTCACGAGCTGACACAGAAAGCGGAAAAGGTGGGTTACATCGGCTGTGTGGCACAGGGAGTTGGTACGTGTGTACATGTATATGTAAACGAACCAGCACACACACACACACACATACACAAACACACGCGCGAAAAATCGCGAAACAACCCGAAAACCAAACACACAAACACGCATACACGGCGATTGAGGCATATTTCTCGAAGAAGAGTCGATAGCTTCGTTGGACAAGGTCCCAACCATGTGCCTTGTCCGTGCTACAAAAAATATCAACATGACAAAAAATGTCACGAACACGTGTTGCTTCTGCTCCTCCTGGTGTAAGTTGATCACCAGGTTCCATGGGGTCATGAGCCGACAACCCAGTAAACCAAGCTATGCATCAGAAAACCGAATTCAGCCGCCAACCATGAACCTTCACAGGCGAAAAGTGTTTTCTTCCAAGCTGGCAACGTCAGAACCTAGGGCTATGTACATATGACTTAACCCCGAGCCATATAACTGATCCGCTTGCACGTGCTTGCTACCCGCATACTGCACGGACATGTCTGCAGCACACATACACGGAAGAGGACGTTCTCACTCTTCTTTGGGTTTTCCCGTACGGGGTTAAGCCACTTCATTCAAATATCATTTCGAGATCGTGTTGGCGCAAATCCACCTCTCTTCTGTACTCCGAGCCATGCTACTAACCGCGGGTCGCAGTGGTTCAGAAAAGACTTTAGCTGGTGGGATCATCAACCCGACGTGCTCATAGCCAGCCTGCTCCTAGGTCGCCTCAAATACAACGTAGTACAGCCTGATCGCACCATTTACAGTGTGTGTAAAAAGTCTCACACGGTGTGAAGCCAGCTGAAATCCGTCGAATTTCCCGTTAAACCTCGCGTGTTGACCAGGATCCTCATAAGCACCTGGAGCTACCGGAGCCTCAGCTTCGGTCTGCACTTCCCTCCTCACGAACCTCCGCCTTGTCGTTGAACTGGATGAACTCGTCTGTCCTCGAAAGCGGAGCTTGGCTCAACGCCCGAGACATCGAGCCACTTCTCGCGGCCTCCACTTGTCTGTGCGGGGAGCTTGCGCTGAGCACTTCCTGGGGCTTGTCCCAAGTTCTCTCCAGTTCTTCTTCCTCGCCACTTCACTGCCTGCCAAACTGCAACTGCTCCCAAGCAACATACCACCACAACCAGAAGCAGCTCATCGAGTCCAGCAACAATCTGATAGGGTCCTGTTGCACTGCCAGTGCTGGGACCGCTTTTATTGCACCCGACATCAAACAAATGATCATCATCTTGAAAACTTGCGCTTGCAAAGCCTCCACGGTAGATCTTCAAAACCTCGCATTTGCAACAGCTCCTAAAGTCGTGCTTTCGGATGCGGTTTCGTAGCCAAGTCCGAAAAATGCCGTTGGCCTTCCACAAAGTGCGCAATAAGCAGTCCTCGGTCCACTTGCTCCCATGATGTCGGCGCTCAACACTTTCAAGTGTCAGGTTTTTCCTCGAACCTGGGCCCCTTGAAACAGTGCTGTAGCCGCTTGACTGTCCACTCGTAATACCCGCTCCAGCCTGTGACTCACAAACTCATCGAACAAGCAAGCTATGCCCTCCGCCAGTACAACACTTTGAGTTGCTGAGTTGCCTCTAGCAGCTCATTCTCAATCGTACATAACGTCGCCATCGACTGCCTTCCAGATTTCCAGGCGATGGGACAGTTGGCAACAGTCACCACAGCCGCACCAATCGACTTGGCATCCGTTGGAGCACAGCTAGAATCTGAGCAAGCAACCATCTTCAAACCGATCTCCGATAGGATTGTTTGAAGTTTGAACCCTGTGCACTGCGCGTGTTGAATGTGGTGCTTGCTGTTGCTTGCCGGGTCTGCTGGGGTTCTCTTGTAGCAGTCGCCGATGACGACCATTCCCCATTCTGGAAGTCACCCAAGACCAGCTTCATGTGCTTGGTGCCCGACAGGCAAGCCAACACACTTTCTGCCACCTTGGTGATCCCCGTCGGATGCTCAGAAACCCACTGGGACATGTGACTCACAACATACTGAAGATCTGGTCGACTTCTCATTGTGAGCCGCAACAACTCACCCACCATGTCTTGACCCGTTCGAAGGTCGTTCTCTTCAAACTCCTCTGACATCTCGTCGAAATCTTCAGCGACCCACTCTTTTAGGCACGGGGCCTTTGCTGGATGAATGTTTGTCATGTCGGGGGCCCTCAGGAGGTCTTCAATGCAGACCGTTTGTTTGAGCTCACACGCATTCTGGTAGACCTCAATTCCCACATACCTTGTTCGTTTCGGCCAGCAAAAGGTGGGCGAAGGGGTGGGGCCACCCCCGCGAACATAGAAGTCCTTGATATATCGAACAAACGGGGCCTGCTTGCCAGTTTGCCCAACAAAGAAATTTGCAAACAACAACTCCCACAAGCTCCGAGGAGCTAGCTTTCGTGATCGAGTGACAGAACGTAACATGAGGGACCCAACACTCTTCTATGTGCCCGCTTTGTTGCCCGGGTCTCAATGCATGTACGGCATGTCTTCTCATGCGGCAGGTGGCCGTTTTAAGTGTGTCGAATCCATCTTTTTTTGTCAGCTTTCGTCATCTGGTCAAAGTTTGCGTCCATTTTCTTGATCCATCTGGTTTCGGTGCTCTCTCCATCGAAGCGTGCTGTTGATGGCTCCACCACGTCGGGGGTCGTAGCGGAGGAACATAATCTTCATATACGTCCGCTTGCAGCTCCGTGTTGTTGGCGACAAAGCACGTCGTAGGTTTCCTGAGCCACATGCCTCAGCGCACGAACTTGGTACTCC